ACCTAGGTACTAGATCAAATTCCCCTTTTAAGAAACTGATATAAGTTGAGGTCCAAGACAGGAAACAACCATTTCAAGAAGATAAAGTCAAAATCCCTCTAGACAATTCAAGACTGAAATGGTACACTGGAGCTTATGGCTTCCCAATTTTAGTCTTGAGTGCTGATTGAATAATATCTCGAAAGCTTAAAGATGTGAGATGTGCGGTAAAGATTTTTGATCTTCAGATCTCTGGCATGTATCTGGAAAACTCTAGTATACAGATCATTGTCAGAGGCTGATGTTGAAAATCTGAAATCCATAGCATATCAATCAAATTCAATTGGTGCTCAAAATGGAAAGAAAAATGTTCTGAAAGGAGGATACTTAATGCTCACAACATTTTCCTACGAAGCTGATCGGAAGCTGGGCATAAAGTACAGTTAGTAGAAAGAAGAGAGGTTGCCAGAAGCTCACTGGGGGTTCAACAAGAGATATGTATAAGCCGGGAAAGAAACAGTAGACATTGGAAACTGTTCTAGCTCCCGAAACCTATAGCGTTTTGAGATCAATAGCTTCATTGGGATTTGCAGTATCACGGACTTTTGACTGGACTTATACAGCTTGTACAACTTTGATCATACAGTACCATTATGTTGCGCTTCTTTGATGTATCTTGAATTCTCTCCGAGACGAGTACACAAGATTTCAACCTTTCTGTAAAGCTGCTAAACTTCAGGCTTGTCACAATATTCTTCGTGGAACTGAAGAGTTGATAAAAGGTACACCAGCAAATGAAGAGTTTAATCCATTGTAAGATACTTGCTGGGTAACTCCTTTGCGACCAGCAGCCTTCTTAGTCTTCGAGTTTGATAGACATGAAGTCCCAAAACCACGGCTTACATAATGAGATGTGGTGTTAGACCTCGCAAGATGCGGTGCGGCTTTAGTAAACTTAGCGATGTCGAAGGCTGCCGTATCATGTGATCGTGATCGAGTACCAATAAACTCACACCTTGAAAATCACTAGAAATTGAACTGAAGCAAAACGTGAGGTAAATAGATTATCTCTTTCCTCGATCACAATTTTCGAATATAAACATAACTCCACAAAGTCTCGTACTTCTCAGACTATTCATCATGGAATCACATATGACATCCCCGCCCAAAGCCAAACGTCCCCCAAAACCTAATCCTCAAAATCCTATCGAATCCACCATCCGATCATTTTTCCAAACACTCCATTCCACATCATTTTCAGAAATCTCGGCTTCTCTCGATTTACTTGTATCCACCTCCCCCAAGCGCTGGGTCATATACTCACCCATGCTTCTTCTCCCCTCTGGATCATTTTCCTCGCCACATTGGATTTCTCTCCTCTCTCTCATTTCCCCTTCCCAAAAAGAAGCATTTTTTACACAAATTCTGCAAAGTGTATCGAAGAAAGAAGGCAAGAAACTCACGCATCTTGCTATTAATGCTGGAATACCTCTTCATGAGAAAGATAAGGAGGGAGAATCCGAAGAAGAGAATATTTTGAGAAGTCCTAGTGGATTACTTATGTTACATGGAGATTTTGGGCCCGATTTCAAAGGTGATGAACCTACGGAAGAGGATTTCGAAAAGGCGTTTTGGGTGAGTACGAAACAGAATGGGATTGAACAGGTTTGGGCGCCTAGGTGGACTATGTTTAGTAGGGGGAATGTCAAGGAGAAGGCTCGGTTGTTGGGGTTTCACGATGCTGGTTCGATGGAGAGTGGAAATGGGAAGAGGGAGATAGGGAAGGAAGAGAGGAGGGATTGGACGGCGGTGGATTTGTATGCGGGAATTGGATATTTTGTTTTTAGCTATGTGAAGATGGGGGTGGGAAGGGTAGTGGGGTGGGAATTGAATGGATGGAGTGTTGAGGGATTGAGGAGGGGAGCGATAGCTAATGGGTGGGAGATAAGGGTTGTGAAGAAGGGGGAAGTGGTTGAAGAAGTTGAAGACGAGAAGATTGTGGTGTTCTTGGAGAGTAATGTGGAGGCTGAAAGAAAGTTGGAAACTATAAAGGGCCTTGGTTTAGTGAAACATGTAAATTGTGGTTTCTTGCCTACGAGTGAACCTACATGGAAACCGGCCATGAATATTCTAGGAGAGGATGGATGGTTACATTTACATGAGAATGTCGGGATTGCAGATGTGGAAAGAAGGAAGGGGGAGATTGAGGCGATGTTCCAAACCTGGCTCAAGGAACAAGCCGATGGAAGGAGTGTGAAGGTTGAGCATGTCGAATTTGTTAAGACTTTTGCTCCCGATGTTTGGCATTGTGTTTTTGACGTCTATATCGGTAGATAAACTATGGACGTCATGATATCCAACTGATGCAGATCTTCAAGCCCAAAAACAGGATAATGTGATTAGTTATTGAGTAAGCCAATCTGCGGGAGCTGCACTTGCAATACGCAATCGATTTCTGTAATATGAAAGGAATTTCCTCAGCGCATCTCATCACATGATCCACCAAAGAATACTTCAAACCCCTCAATACGTCAAACTCTCCATTCCCTTCCTTCCGTTAGACTCATAGTCAAACTCGAGATAACCTCAATCATAAACCCATTTCACCCCAACCATCACAAGCGCAAAATGAGCTTAAATTCCAGAATGATCGTCGTCACGAAAAATCCTCTTAATGAGCCCATCCAAATCGTTTGCGAGTTTTCTGCCTTTTATGGTCACTATATTATTCATACGGTCAGACTAATCTTTGGCTAAAGCTTATCATGGATATATACCAAGAACGATGGCAATGTATCAGTGACTTCACCGTAATGCTTCCATAATCGAATAGAAAAGATGTTCAACTCCCCCAAATGTCTTTAAATCACACCGGCAGCACCATGGAAGTCGGCATCGATTTCTTATCCAACAATATCGCATAAAGGGCGACGAGCCCATCTTTTTCACCAAGGTTATTTCTAGAGAATGGTTAGAACACATATTCAAATATAGAGGAATGACTCGGCCTTCCGTGTTGATGAGATTAAAGAGTGAATATTCAAACCACGAGAGAGTGGAGGAGTTGATGTACCATATACACAACTCATAGGTATATCCTTTACCATAGACAAGCGAGCTTTCGCAAACCCTCTTCATCTCCCAAATGGAGACGTCGAAAGATTTACCATAAGCCCAATATAAGAACTTGATTTCATACCTAAATCCCAAAAATCCAAAGGTCTAATCACTCCTTACCGATTACAAGAGGGGGAATAAAAGATATACCCAACAAGTCATTTCGTCAACACAAACTTACCCATCGCCTCTCCAACACCACCACCAAATTCGGCTATATCCTCAGATATATATTCAAAAAAAACGTCGCTTCTTTCGGTCATCAGCACTCCATTCGGGTCGCCTTGGCGCAGTTGGTCGACCGCTGCGTTGTAACCACCTTCGGGTGGGTGGAGTGTCTGAGCAGCGAAGCGACAGTGATGCCCTCATATCGAAGAGAGCAGCTGGAAATTAACTTCATCTCGGAGAGGTTTCCCTCTAGACGATTTTTTGCCGTTTTGAATGGCTGAATTTATTTTTACTTTGTATGAGAAAAAGAGGGTGGTTGGATAAACCTTATTTTGGCTCGAGTGAAAAGTATGATATTGGGAGGAAAGCTCCAGCAGTTTTTGAAGTTGAAACAAGTACATAAATGATAGAGGAGATAATCTGCCACTGGCCAGGCATGAATAGATGATGACTGCACGCGCATGGCATTTTCGATTGTTGAGATGGCTCGGAAGAGTGTTTGCATGTAAACCTAGGGCAATGGGGAAGGTAACTCTGTATGTATTGATACTTATCTATTAGGTCTATTCATCTTAACGTCTTAACATTATGTCTATACTTTTAAACATAACCAATCATTGTTTATCCTTTCTGAACTTATCAGGAATATTTTGTTCAACAATGGACATCTTATCCAAAGCTGCAACTCTGTCGGCTTCATCTTCCAATTCATCGTGTTTCTTGAAATGTTCAATATCCTCCGGGTGTATTAGATCCTCTTCTTTTGTATTCTCGTCGTGGTATCTGCATCAAATTAGCCCGGCATTCTTCATGATAACATTCCCTCCATCTATTTTCTCCCAAGGAAGTGATACGTACTTCTGCCAATGATGAATCTCATACTCCATCTCAATATCCCAATGATGACCAGGTCCCAATCTAAAATCCGGTAACAGTCCTCCAGTCCCCGAATATCTATCCCATTCTTCCCTTTCCACTTGTCCATTATTATTATTATCCATCAACTTCAATATCTCCTTCAATATATTATCCTTCTTATCCTGCGGCACATCTTTTGCGGTTTCGTCTTCCATGCCGTAGAATTTGAGGATTTCCGCTTGGTCCCATACACCGTTATTATCGAAATCATGCAGTGTGAAGAAGGCTCCCGCATCGAAATTTTCTATATGATGTTCCTCTGTTTATACATTAGTCAATTGATACATAACATCGGCTTCGAAGTCCAAAGCAAAGCAATTGGAAGGAATCTCACCAGCCATATGTCTAGTACCCCAATCCGCGTCTGGATCCACGGCTAAAGGTTTCTGATGAGCTACACCTCCATGTGCAACGACCAATCCGACACAAGCCAAAAGCCCGCCTATCCTTCCAAGTCCCAAAGTCATTATCGTAGGTCGTTAAAGGTAATTATGATGAAAGGTGTTTTTTGTCGCAAAACTACAAAGTCGGTATCGGATTATTTGAAATGGGAATCGCATCTTCGAGACGAGACGCTTGGATGTAGAATTCAGGGGTAAGCTCCGGGCCCGACGTCAGTACAAGGATTCGACAGGGTGTGTACTCGAGGCTGGGCTGGACCTTTATTTTTTGAGCTGCCGTATAATCACTCATAACGATTAAGCTCAGGTATACGATATATCGACATCTTTATCAATGCCATAAGTTTTTAACTACACCCAATATTTCTCCTTCACAACAGCAATTGAATCTCTCGCGATAATTGTAGCACTCAGAAAATGAATCAAGCTACCTCTCAGGTCCTCTCCAATCTCATCCCCCGACATTCTGGCACCCTCCCCCCCGAGCTCCTCGCTCTAACCAGTTCTCTCGTTTCACAATCGCGCCTGAGATGTTCATTAAGCCAAGAGCAGGAGATCGGGAGGACGTATGCTTGTGCTAATCTTGCTTGCGAACGGTTTGTTTCCTAAATAATTGATCAAAATTTGCTTATTTATTTACTGACCAAATTCTAGTCTAAAAACAACCCTCAATCTCCCCAAAATCGAACCTCGACCCCCACTTCCTCCTAGAGTTTATAAAAAATTATACGCATATATCGAGGATACGCTAGCTAGCACCACACCGAAGAAACGCGCGAGAGTCGAAGGAAGTGGAATTGAAAGTGGAAATGCGACGCCGAGCAGAAAATCATCATTAGCACAAACTCCCAAAAAACGCACACCAGGTCATAATGATACACCTATAAAAACTACGCTCCCGCAAAGAAGCACGCCATCAAAATCAAAAAGTCTCGCTAGTTTTCGCACTCCGAAAAAAGGATTACGGTATGAGAAGAGAGATGAGACGAAGATACCAAGGTGGGTGGGTGTGATAGGTAGAGAACTATGTGCGAAATTGGGGATGAAGGAAGCGACGCCGCATGTTTTGGCTGGAGTGGAGAGTCTGATATTCTGGGAAGAAGAAAAGCCGAGGAAGGGGGAGGAGATGATGGAAGGTGGCCGGCGATGATGATGGCGGTTTGGAGTATTGTTTGGGGGAAGTTGAGGACGGGGGAGGAGGTGTTGAGCGATGAGGAGTTTAAGGAAAAGAGGTTGGAGACATTGAGGGTGTTGAGATTGGCGAGAGGAGATATAGAGGTGGAGAGGAAGGTTGGGAGTGGAGGATGGGAGGGTTGGGATTTACCGGAGGAGGATGAGGATGATGAAGAGGAGAGGAGTAATGCGAAAGATGTCAATGGCTGGATGGCCGAGATTTGCAATAAAGGATGCCTGGAAATGGATTGGTATCAAAATATGGTTAGAGCAGACGGTTCAGATGATACGGAAGATGATCAAGAACGAGAGGATGCTCTAGATGAAATCCAAAGAGTGCGAGTTCGCGAAGACGAAATGAGATATGGACTCGGAACAATGCGACAAGCGAAAGTAGACTACTTGACAGAGAAGAAGAGAGCTGAATACAAGGCGTGGAAAAGGAATATCCTGGCTAAAATTGCACGGCTACAGAAAGAGGGAAAGAATGGAAATGTGATGGATATTGCAGCATAGCGAAGGTGTTAGTGTATTGGGATTGATACCCTTTATGGAGTTAGTTACAATGATTACTGGGACTTATTTATGATCCAATTTAAGATTTATATACGTGGAGAATTTGATTTTCGGTTTCACATGACTTTCTATTCATTCTCGATAATACAAGAACACGATTCCACACATGTCGAAGCGAACAACTCAACCTGTCTCGCCCAGTATATAAACCCTCAACCTAAATTCCACTCTACGCACTTTCCACTCATCCTCCATTCAAACTCTCATGCCCATCCATCCATCCATCCATCCATCCATCCACCTCACTTTATCCCTCTATCCCAACCAACCATCTCTTTCCCTCTTCCATCTCCTTCCCTCTCCCCAAACCCCTTCATCACACATCACAAACCACACACCGCTCCCGTCCCATCCACTACTATCCACTACCATCCCATAATCATAACCCAATAATCCAATAAACCTCCTCACCACTCCCCACAAAATATTGACATATATATATATAACATATTTTCCCATTCTACCGCACACTACCTACTATTTAATAAGTATACCCCTATCCAATTTCCGTCTTTCTCACGTGGACGAAGTTGGAGATATAAGAAGGAGAGTTTGTGGGATTATTTTGTATTTATTATGTAAATAGTGTAGGTATGTTACTTGTGCACCTAGTATGTAATCTTACATGGAAAAGTAGCTTGGGGAGAGGTATGAGAGGTGGGTAGATGGAGTTGCTATGAGGTGAATGTTTTATAGAAGGTTTAGTCGAGGGAGATGGGAATTGGAATGATATGTATTGAAGGATTTATTTATAATCTACTGATAGAAGATAGGCTATACTTCTCGTATGACGAAAGCTTTTTCCATGAATTTCCCCCCCTGTCGTCAGATGTTGAGATATGAGAAGAGGGAAAACAGGATATATAGAATCTCAAGCTTTGAAATGTTGAGAAGAGAAGAGTTCATGATTGGATACCCGGAAGTTATTCGTTCTTATTTTGTTGTACTCTCTCGCGGTTGATTTGCAACCGTAGCCATCAAAAGACATTTCGAGGATGGGAATATGATATGAAAGACCTTTTTCAAGCGAGAGAGATGTATAGCACTTCATACGGATTTTTCAACTCAAAATGGTTATGAATCTAAAATTCACTAACTGATATTTTGATATAGCTTATTGTAAAAAATAAAATAAAAAAGAATGTTAATATTAGAAGTAACTACTGATAAAAATTTAAAAGGAAATTAGAAGAAAAAGTATTATATTTTTGAAAGATTTGAAAGATTTGAAAGATTTGAAAGATTTGAAAGATTTGAAAGATTTGAAAGATTTGAAAGATTTGAAAGATTTGAAAGTATTGTTTTTATATAAAAAATAATATAATAATATATCTTTATATATATAGTTCTATATTCATATAGTATACTAGGAGCGAATCACAGGATCACATGATCAAATCACATAATCGTCGCTTAAGAGAGCTCTTAGCCCAGAACTTATCTCAATATTCAGACCCTCTTCGTCGATAGAACGTATTTCATTGAATTTTGAATAATATCTTGATCTTTTTCATGGTGGTGTTGTGGCTTACTAATGATCGAAATTTTTTCGGCCAATCAGGGATCGGGGGGACGTTTATCTCCTCGAGAGTCTGAGAGTATTTGAGTGTGTTTTTGGTGAGGAACTGAATTCGTTTGATAAGAGCATTTCAATAATATATATTACTTTTTCAATTATTATTTATTAAAAAACTAATTAGTATATTTGAAAGAGCTCAATTGATATTATTATATGAATCAACTTCAAATTGATTAGATTTGTAATAATAATATAGTTCAATTAGGAAGATTTTTTTTCAAACCAGCTAAGTTATTTTCAACTATTTCAAAATATTTTTATTAATAATAAAAATAGTATTAATTGAATTGCTTTATTAAGCTGAGTATATTACTAGTTCTTTCAATAGCTTTAGGAGCATTGAGACTATGTCGTTGATGGAAGTTTAATTGTTCTTTAAATTTCTTCAAATTTGAAAGATGTATGCCTTAAGTTTAAGGCATTTGGATTCCAAATGAAAAGGCTAAGAGCATCTAATTTCTTCAAAATCAACAACCCTAATTCTTTAAAAGGGATTGAGATATATGATGGGAATCAGATTGATTAGGAGATCTTCAGAATATATATATTATTATTAGAAATGGTAATAGTGGTGGATTTTGAAGGGGGGGGATGCTTATTTTAATAAAATGTTATATTTTAAAATCTCTTGTTTTTTAACTTTAACAATATATATATATATATATATAAACCAATAGAGTAATAATAATAATAAATATATGAAAATAAAGAGAAAATTCAGCTCTATCTAATAAATCTATATGAAAAATATTTGATTGTTGATTGATTTATAATTATAAAATGAATTATCACAAAATAGGTGAAATATTATATTTCACATTATAGCTGGAACCAAATTGTTTCAAACCCTACAGTGATAAACCTTCGGGAGGCCCCTGCCTCGAAATCAAGGCCAAAAATTATGTAATCACCGTGTGGTCTGAGGATGAGATAACCCAGAACGGCCTGAAAATCAGTTCTTTATTAGCTCTTTATTAGTTCTTTCAATCCATTCGTAGTAAGATCGACATAGTACTAGCGAAATCGAATAAGGAATAAGAAAGAAAAGCTTTATTTGATGGAATGGCCGGATTAGGAAGAGATCTACGAGAAATAAACGAAAGTGGAAAGCTAGATTAGTAGGAAAAAGCATAAAATAAGGCCTTTCCCCCTCGAATATAGAATAAGAAAATAAGAATATCATATACTGTTTCATGAAAATCACGTGTTTCATAGCTATTTAGTTGTTAATACGAGCCAGCTTCCCATAATAGACTAATATTAGTCTATTCCCTCTTATATACTATATACTCATATACTAGCTCATGACCTACGATAGAAAGATTTGAAAGATTTGAAAGATTAAAAAATGAATATAAAATACAAAAATTATATTAGGGTTGAAAAATCCATATGAAGTGCTATGGAGATGCTATGCTTCGATTTGAACTTTTACAAGATACAGTTAGTATATGAATGAAAACTAAAGTATGAGATTGTGCGAAGAAAACAAAGAGGAGAAAGATTATAATTCAAAAATGATAACATTTTACTCCACACTGTATATTCTGCGCCGTGTGCCAGAAAGAAAACTTTTTGATCATGCAAGAGACTGATATTTTGGAGGATCCGATACAAGGAGAGAACTTTCACACTTTCTATTGTTATTGATGCTGCATATGCAGAACTGTTGGGATGGATAGGTAATAGCTCTGATGTGCTTCAGCACTCTTCACGTGTAGAGATTCTCATATCTCTTTGGATATTGAGCCTCCCTGAGAGGTGAAGTAGAACACTTGTGCATGGATCTCGGCTCAAAATGTCATATGGTCAGTTATACCACGGTAGGTGCATAAAATATACGCGTGAATACTTGTGTATCTCAATACTTTGTAAGCTTTGCAAAAGATCATCTCTGTCGCCAGATTATCCGAAAATAGATGTCGACGAGATGTCTATTTTAGTAAATCACCTTCAGGGACGTGAGGAGCCACTTGATCCTCGAATACTCTGGCGAGCATCAATATTCTCCGAATAGTCCGTAAATAACCTGCCGGTTGGAAGAAAATGTGTGTTTGACGTCAAATGTAAGGGTTCCAGGCCGTGGTAGCTTTCGGAATCTATCATGCATTGCCGTGAACCTTATTTGGCCGTCTTCAAGACGGTCGGCCGGCTTCCGGATCAGAGAAGCTTGTTGGTCAAAGCGTATTGGTAGTCAGGACGTTGAGTATCATTGGCAGAGGTATGATGAGCTGATGATTCGGCCGGCGATCCCATCCGTTCGCCGGAATATTTGCACGGAGAATTCAGTATACCGGTTTGACAAGCCACGCAACGGTTTCATGATGTATGATAAGATTTGGGGAGCCCGTTGAGGGAGAAAAAGCAATATAGCTGAATATTGGTAAGCCAAGCTTCGGGCTATCGTGATTTGTGATGATGATTGGTAACACTCACACTAGATTGTCACCTCGAGAGTCAAGAAGTTGTGCCTACTACTGTGCATACATAACACAGCTAGCTCTGCGCAGTTCAGCCTCGCATGAACAGGATTTCTTGGGTTCACTTGATGTGCGCTGGTGCGCTTGGACAAATGAATATTTGGCCCGTGCCGATGATACTGCACGAACCATGCAGATGGATGGCTCAGTGGATTCGCGAAAGATGGAATAGTGATGATGAGATGCAGAGAAGGGTGGTATTATGGTACCAGACTGTCAAGTGACTGAGAGATTATGCTACCCACATGAAGAGATCGCCATCTCTTGAGCCACTGTATAAACGAATCTCAGATAGCTGAGATTGAAGATGACTTTATGCACCGCATGTGAAACCATCCGACTCGAGCTTAGAAATAAATATTCTCCGGTTGACCAGACAAAGATTCTCGTCGAGTTTCGTGCCGCGAATTCCGTTGGCGAATGAGGCCCTTTCATTGCGTCTAATCTTGATATTATAAGAATGGTTAAGTGTGTAATCTTAGAATGACATTAACACTCATAATGAGCCTCAGTTAAGGCTGTTCCAGCCAGCATGATAGCATCACTATGTCAACCATATTTAGTTTGTCAATATAATACCATACAAGATCTGCCCAGACAGGGTTCAACGTGATTGTTCTGGCGTGTCAACGACTATATCAAAGCGTGCTTATATGTATAATATGCAAGTCGTAAGGCCTGCATAAGAAAATATTCCGATGCATGCAGTAGTGATCCAGCGGATGATCAAGACGACCGGTACAACCGATTAACATGCTATCTAGATGAATGTTGATATAGCCGACAAATCTTGGAGGGGAAGCAAGAGGTGGATCTCACGAAGTCACATCTTGTACACTTTGGGGCTTCTGAGGATAAGACTTTGTACTTGGTATGGACGACGCCTCGTGAGTCTTGAAGATATGTTTCGAAACAATATTTTAATCTCGAGCTGAAATCTCAAGGCGATAGAGACAGTGCAATCTCCGCAAGGCGTTAAAAAAATCCCAAGGAGTGGAGAAAACGAAAGCATTGTGAATTCAAGTTTCAAGTTCTGGTAGAGTTTTTTTGTGAGATTTGAGACTAGACAATCATAATGATTTTCATTTACCCAAGCGACTGAGACTTCATTAAGTTCATTTCCTATTACATATAGCCGTTCTCAAGCCGTTATCTCTGCATCTTAGCTTCGCATTTGATGAACCCTGCGAGACCTGGTTGGTAGACTGGTAAGAACTTCACATCTATTACCTACTCTGTAAACGTCTGGGGAGTCGGAACACACTGTCTGCTTACGCTATTGGCCAATAATCATAATGATAGGTAGTAGGTACTAGGTAGGCAGTTAATCATGTAGAAATCCATTGCACATTTCACACCTGCATCAAACGGCGTGCCGCCTCCTTCAAAACTTAATAATCCTTCATTGTCGCTGTCCTCATCCTTCACCCCTTTATTCATCATCAATTGACGTTCGCGAGATATCGTCTGATCTTTTCGATCCCACCAATCTGTCACTGTGTCAAAAGAAAGGCCAAAAATCTAGCTTCCAAGATCTCGACAAGGTTAATCCTCATACAATGGATATATTTTGGACGAAAAAAGATCAAAAGGGAGTCCAAGTCCCAATTGTGCCACCGCCATAAATAAATTTAGCCCCAACCCCCTTTTGAAAACTGGTACCCTAGATACATAATACACGCTTTGTACATCTTGTCCCTTGCTGCCTCGCGTGCTATCTGGGATCTAGGGGGCTCGATTCTTTTGATTAATCGCCGAGTGCTCTTGGTATTGGCCTCTCTTCGTGGGGATCATAAGGGAGGTAGCTTCCATGCTGTCTGGTATCATACGATGTACACTGCAAACCCAGGTATGCATCTAAACTGATGTGTGCTTTGCATAGGTACGACAAACGAGAAAAGGAGGTGAGGGAGAGAGGGGATCAAGTACGTCTTTTAGGATCAATACTTTTAATTGTTTTATTATTTATATTAGGAGGTGAACTCCGTTGGAGATGAAATTTCTCCTTGAGTAAACAGACATTAAAGTTTACGACCAAATAGTTCATTTCTCTTGTATGAGGTGCAGCACAGCAATTAGATACTCTGTATATCGTACTTGAATGAAGCAGGGACGCCAGGAACACCAGGAACACCAGGAAGCAGCCAATGAAAGCGCCAGACAAGGATGAGAGATCGACTACATTTCCCCTGTCAGATTCCCAGTTTGAGATGCTGGAAGATTTGAAAAGAACCACAGGCAAAGGTTGTGAAGGTTCTGGGGTTAGCATGTTTAGTGAGAAAGTTAGAATGGATATAGTGGATGTAGTGGATGCCGTGGGTGTAGCAGGTGCAGTAGATACAGTAAACACACTCGACACTCGAATAGTACTTCCTTAAACTTTTAAAGCTCCTTCATAGACATGTTAGTTCCTGGTGGCCATTGGGTAGTGGATTCTAGAGTTTGGAGAGATACCCTGAGTATCTTAAGTGCTCCATAACAAGCTGATGAATTTCTCTTTAAACTTCTGTCTGTCAGACCCTGTCTCGTTGGTATATCACCGATTAGCTATTTTGTATAGAATGTGTATCTACCTTGGGCTACTTTTATTAGCAGTTATAGTAATCGTCCCTAGGTCGATAGTTGGTGTTTGTTAGAGTTGGCGACCCCTGAATTTATGATTTTACCTAGTATTCACTCATACTGAATTGTCAATTTTCCTATCGTAGATAATAGATAATAGGTAATTGGTAATTGGCAATAAATAGGTAATTGGTAATAAATATTCACTGTGCCTTTATTATTATTCCAAATTTACAACGTATATTGGTTAATACGGTAAATACTACCTAGGTACACATATATCCATAATTACATACCACCTCCTCCGTACATACAGATTCGCCATGGCCACTTTCCTCAGACCCACGAACCGCACCGCAAATTCCCCATTTCAGTCCTTTTCCTCATAGTCTCCGCCGAGTTGAAGCTTTAGGATTGGTTTGCGTGAATCTTCCCTCTTTCGTAATTCTTCACATCTTTCCCTTCCTGCACAGTGCATACTCTGTACATACTTCGTACATACCTACCTACATACATACATCTACCCACCCACCCATACATACATACATCTTACATGCTCTGTACAATCGCGATCCATTCTTTTTCAGCACCCGGCGCAAACTGCCCTTTACTACCAACTTTACCACTGTCTTTCTCGTCTCTCTCTCTCCCTCGGACCTCACATCACCTCCAATCGTTTTTGTATACCTAATCATCCCTTGGTACCACATACTGTTGTCCATACTTCTCAACCTGCATTAATACCGCATATCCTAAAAGTAATTCTGGACGCGTTGAAGGAGAAGATATCTACATAGTCAACATTTGGGTTGTTGATAAATCGACAACAACCACAACGCGTGTTCATCTCCAACGTTTCGCTTACCTCTCTGGTTGGTCCTGTTGGTCAGACGAAAAAAAAGGAAGCATTATACACCCTGGATAATAACAGGAGAGGAGAGAGAAAGGAAGTCAAAACCTGCAGCACTCGATTCTTCAACTACAATATTATTCACTCGCATTCTGCCAATCTCCAATCAATGAATTTGCGTTGGCGGTTAACTATTTCCAACACCTTCTAATTACTTATCGAAACATCATCCAATTTATTTACAATCACAACGACATAATATTACACGGCGGTCTCCAGAACATTTTGTCGCAACGAACGCTCCAGTAGAGCCATGGCCAGCTCCCCTCCAGAATCGCCCCAAGTGAGTCTGCCCAGGCCCGCAAGCGCAATGATGAAAGGAGTACCAAGATCGAATAGTGGAATGAGCATGAGCAGTAAAACTGGAGGAAGTCGAGCCTCGGACGAAGATGGCAAAACTGCTGTCAAAGTTGGTAAGGAAGTTCTGATTAATTTTCCATGTGCCGCTCACAATGCTAATCTGAGTTACTTTGGCAGCTGTGCGAGTTAGACCACCCCTCCGACCAACCGATCCTGGCTTCGACCTCATCCCACAAAGATTTCAACGACCTATGGTACAGGTTACCTCACCCACAAACTTAGCAATCGAATCTCCCCAGGGAAAGAAGATATTCGTGTTTGACAGAGTATTTAGTGAAGATGTGGACCAGGAAGGAATTTGGGAATATCTGGTAGAGAGTACAAATGCCTTCATTCAGGGATACAATGTCTCTATGCTGGCATATGGACAATCTGGTGCTGGAAAGTCTTTCACAATGGGTACATCCGGTCCAGGCGAGCAAGGAAAATCCGAGGTTATGGGTGAGTTCGAGATCCGTCGCACTCAATCCGATATTGAGCTGCTGCACAACGCTTAAATGGGGAAGATGCTAATGTATGTGCAATTATCTAGGTGTTATTCCACGTGCGGCCATGGCAATATTTGAGAAACTCGGCGGCGGGAAACCGCAGCAATCCAATCGGAGTTCTATGACTGGTCTAAGAGCTCCCAAGAGGTACTCCACGATTCCTGCTGCTGTGTCTGCGGAGGACAAAACTTGGAGTCTCAAGGCAACGTATGTCGAAATTTACAACGAGCAGCTGCGAGATTTATTAGTTCCCGAACATACACCAGCTCATGAACGAGAGGTGGTCAATATTCGAGAGAACACCAAGGGTCATATTCTTCTTACCGGATTACACCAAGTCGAGATCAATACTGTGGAAGATCTCATGGCGGCACTAAACTTCGGGTCTATGATTCGCCAAACCGATGCAACCGCGATCAACGCCAAATCTTCACGATCTCATGCTGTGTTCAGTTTGAATCTGGTCCAGCGCAAATCGAAGGTAACACCAGGTGCTGAAAAGAGATTTTCCGTTCCACTAGAAGCCATGAATGGTGGAGAAGTGGTCACAATTGACAGCAAATTCCATTTTGTCGATTTAGCTGGCAGTGAGAGATTAAAAAATACCGGCGCACAAGGAGAAAGAGCTAAAGAAGGCATTTCCATCAATGCTGGTTTGGCTAGTTTGGGCAAAGTTATATCGCAATTGTCATCCCGACAAGCCGGATCCCACGTGTCGTACCGAGACTCAAAACTCACTAGGTTACTCCAGGATTCACTTGGAGGTAACGCGATCACTTACATGATTGCGTGTGTTACGCCGGCCGAATTTCACCTTAGCGAAACTCTGAATACAGTGCAATATGCTCAGCGTGCCCGCGCAATTCAAAGCAAGCCTCGAATCCAGCAAGTTTCAGATGAGAGCGATAAGCAAGCTGTCATCGACCGCCTGAAAGCCGAAGTCGCTTTTCTTCGGGATCAGATTAAGCACAGTGAAAGCGGGGGTGATCGTCGTAGCAAGCCCACGAGTGAGAGGCCCGAGCGACAAAACGAACGAGAAGTGGAACTGCACAATCAGCTACTTGACACGCAGGAAAATTACACAGCCCTTAGCCAACGTCATGCTAAGCTTATAGCGGAATTAGCCAGAGCCAGGGATGAGGAAGTCGCTGATAACCAGGCTCATGAAAATACGTTGGGTGACAGTGCCACAGAGAGACTAAAACGCTCGAACTCATTCGCCGAGGCGGTTGAACAAGTGGTCCTCGAATACGAAAAAACGATTCAAAGTCTTGAACATTCTCTTTCTAACACTCGATCATCTTTATCCAATACCGAAACTCAACTTTTGGAAAAAGAAGCAAAGTGTGCTTATGCCGAGACAGTTAATCAACAGCTTCAAGCACGCTTACAAAAGTTGGCCGATCGAGAAGCTAATACAGAAAGCTATTTACATGACTTAGAAACAAGGCTCGAAGGCCATACTTCAGGCGAAGACAAAAATTCGGCAATTGTCATGGAGCTCCGCAAAGAGATTGCTCGCATTCGCGAAAATGAAGCTACTTCCGAAGACTACATCTCGACTCTCGAGGAACGCTTAGCCGAGGCCGATCAAGATTCGGAACTGATGCAACGTGAGATCGATCGATTGGAGCACGTTATTGAACGCCAACGAAGTCTTGGGAAATTGGACAGCCTGCTTTATGATTTGGATAACATTCAGCATGAAGGAAAAAATGGCGACGACAATAAAGCCCCGAATAGCAAGCGATCTTCTATTGCCATGAATAGCCGTCGACAAAGTCTTGCAAGTAGGAGAAATCAAAAGAATGTCATTCTAGAGACCGACAACGAAAGCGATGAAGATTTCTCAGTAAGCCCCGCAAATGGCATCAGATCCGAGACTGATGGTCCCGCCGATCGTGGAGAGTCAATTGAGCTCGAAACTCCCCTGAAAAGGTTAAGTGAGGAAATCGATAGCCAGTACACGCCACAAAGCCCGGCTCAGTCAAAGTTTGTCGAGGATAAGCTCGAGAGTGTTACTCAAGAACTCGTTGATTTAAGAGTTGAGCATGAAGCTACTGTCGGCGAATATGATCTTCTCTCAAATAAATATGAAGAAGCCCTTCGTACACTGGCCGAACTTCAAGACGCTGTTGACGAAGCCCGTAATACCGGTGCACGTGATTCTATTTTGTCGACTCCTACGGCAAGAACAGCTTCTTTTTTAGCAGACGCGAGGGTGAACGAGCTAAAGGGTGGAGGACAATACTCATCCTCGCGATCACTTTCATCGGAATTGTCCTCAGCTGGGGAACTACCCACTACCGTAGAACAATCTGATGCTGAAGCCGTGATCAAAAATTCGGAGTCGGTAGCTACCTCAGATGAGGTCAGTGACACGACAAGTACGGCGGAAGTTGATAATTTGAGAAGGTTAGGCGCAGAGCACGAAGAGGCACAAGTGATTCTTGCTGAGAAATATGCCCAATTGGAAGAAGAACACACAGCGGCTCTTGATCGCATGGAGGAGCTCAAGGCCGAGGTTTCAAAGGCGAGAATGAATGCCGAAGCTACATTATCACGTTCGGGCACGCCAGTTATACGTCGCAAATCCAGCCAAAACGTTATGATTATCGATCGGGCTCATAGATCATTCGCCTCTTTAAGGAATATTGCAGCGGAAAATTTTGAGCATGATCCTGACGTTATGGCAAGCTTTGAGTTAAACTTGAACACCGCCATGCACGAATTACATACCCGCTCAGAGCGCATTCAGGAGCTCGAGGCCGATGTCAGTACAGTCAAGAAGGAGTTGGAAACCAAGACAACTATTATTAGTGGGCTTGCAAGAGAAAGATCGAGCATGAAGGCGTCACCTATGGATATGTCGCTGGTTTCAACTATGCAGGACCAGATCATCAACTCGGAGAACCAAGTAAGAATGCTCCAGGAGACTTATAATGCTCGCGAAAAGGAGCTGCTTCAGCAAATCGAATCTCTTCGGACTTCTATCAATCTCAGTCATAAGGTTAATGGCAACTCCGCTGACAAAGATGATTCTGAGGGTAACGGAGCAGAGTATGATCATGAAAGAAAGATAGCAGAACTGAAAGCAGAAGTTATCAATTGGGAAGGAAAGCATCAGGCTGTATTGTCTTCTATGCAAAGTTCTCAAAACACACTCGAAGCTACTATATCTGAATTGGAACAACAATTGACAAGCTTGGTAAGAAGCGGGGAGCATAGGATTCGCGAAGTTGGAGATCATAATACACATGTTTCAAACTTGCAAAGAGAAGTTGAGGAACACAAGGCTTCTGTTGTCGCAAACGTCTCGCGATTTGCTGAGCTCGAGCAAGCCCATGCATCAACTCGTGAACAGCTCGAGGCAGCCATCCAGTCAAAGAATATTGTCTCCGCTGAGATGGAAGGGCACAAAATTCTTGTGAATCGATTGGAAGAGCAGATCGCCGAGCATGAGAGCATTGTCAAGGCTCACCACGAAGGAATATCCCTCTTGAACGCAAATCATGCGAAGGAAATTGAGGAAATTCGCTCAAATAGCCAGGCTGACCACGAGGCTCAGGTAAACGAGTTAACGGCTAAACATCAGGAAAGCACCGATGCACTTACAAGAGAGCTCTCTGAAGCGAGAGATGATCTGACAAAGATCGCTACTCAGGTCGCGCTTGCACTTGGATTAGACGTTAGCACAGAGAAACTGCAAGATAGGATCACAGATCTCATTGCAAGCCAGAAAGCGCTCTCGCATCAAGAAGCTAAAGTCGGCGAGCTCGAGACGTTCACTAAAGAGTTATCAACCATAAATCAGTCTGTCATGAAGGAGCTTGAGGATACCAAGGCGGAACTGGCTAGTCTCTTGGCCAAGACCACCGAAGGTTCAAGATTGAGGGATGAAAATGCTACAGTCGCAGATCAACTAGCAGCTTTGAGAAAGGAGCTGCACGACCTTGAAACTAAGAACAAGAAAAACTCAAGATTAGTAGAAGAGCTTGAGGACCAACTTGCCTCAAATTTCGATGAACATCAAGCTGCTAACAATCGTTTGTCTACACTCCAAACGGAGCGTAATGCTCAATTAGACGAAGCCAATGCAAATGCTCTTCGTGCTCAGACTGAGCTGGATGCGATCAAAGAGGAATTAGCCACCCTTCAGGTAAGTTTCGAAGTTCGAGTTCATTTTGTGTATTAAGTATGTCTGACTCATTCAATAGGCCAAATACGACGTTTTGCTATCCGACGCCAGCAACAAGAGTTCCAACTCGATCACTTCGCGACTCCACAAATCGGCATCCGTGACTTCACTCCCATCACCACCCCCGGCAATTCCTTTACCGCCACTACCTGGAAATTCGGGAACTGCACAGACAGGACCCGCTCCTTCAACATCGCCAGTTCCACCAACACCTACACAAAGTAGCTTCAATACTCGCAATAGTAAAGACATAGCTGCAACTCAAATTCAAGAGGACCAAGAAGCCCGTATCCGCACTATCGAGAAGCACCTGTTCGCTGAAAAGCAGCTCACATCCACCCTTGAAGAGGCTCTCACAGATCTTGAGAAACAAAGCAACAAGGTCAAAGCCGATTGTGATGCATGGCGAAGACGTGCCAATGAACTGGAAGTTGAATTGAAAGCTGCCGAGGAGAAGGCCAAGAATGGCGATGCCGAGAAGGAAAATCGTTGGAGCTTAATGCAAGTCGAAGAAGAGAAGCGCAAGAGGAAAGAGGCAGAGCTCGCGAGAGCTCACCTTGAAGAACGTATGAACGCTCTCAGCAGCAAGAAAAAGAAGAAGGGCAGTTTGAATTGTTTCTAAAAGAATAATCCGAAGTCCTGTATCAACATTTCCAAGCTGCGTTTTCTTGCGACACCTCTGGCTTTCGCTTTACAATTTATTCCCATCTTACCTACATCTACATCTAATTCACGCCACTGTAATTTGTCTCAACGAACTCACTTGCCACAACATCTCACCGCAAACCCGCGAAAATTGGGAGCACTCCTCACAAACAATATTCAAATATCGCGACTGCGGCATGAAAGTGGAGGTCTGGAATCGAATTTTTGCTTCACCATACTCACCAATTTATTTCCTTGTACTTTAACGTCCCGCGATTTTACGAGATACCACAAAATTTTCCAACTTGTTTATTTTATTTTATTTTGCGCCGCAGAAGACCTTTTTTACTTTTTTGCTTCTTTGATATTTTGAATTGGCGAAGGTGTTTTATAGAGCGAAACGAAAATGGCAATGAACGGCATTGATGTTTACATTTCTCTAATTTGCTTATTTGCTTGTTTAGACTAGCGAATGATCTTTGCAATTTTGCTTTCTGATTCTTCTTTCTGCTGTTTGGGAGGAAACACATTTTTATTATGCTCAGATAGAGATTTTTAGTTTTGATTCTTCATGTGATATGGTGAGGTGGGGAAGATAGCTTGAGGGGAAGCTTGTTGGGTGGTGAATGGTGCTTGCATGATGGGTTTCCTGGTTGGCGAAGATGCATACCGGTATTGGAAGACGAAGGAGTTGAGGAGGAAAACGGGTAGACGAAGAGTTCCTGGTGATGGTGGAGAATAATGACAAAAATGAGATCAACATTTCGAGCGGATTTTTATGCACAAGAGCGACTACCTTGCTGGATTTGAGGTAGCATGAAACATCATAGCAGGAAGGCAAGAAGGAAGAAGGGAAATCTGGTTGATTAGACAACCCTAGAGAGGAGATGAGGACGATATCTGGAGTACAAAACATGATGATAGTGCACAGATCAAGAACAAATAGAATGATGATTTACCTTATACGCAATTTTCGTGCGCGTAGTGCTTTGGCTGATATGTTTGAGCCGTATATTGCGTCTTTGAATTTTGTCTTTTTTCTCGCTTTGTCAAAACGTGGGGTTTTGAGTTCTTGAGCCGACAATTATGTATTCGAGCTCTTACTCTCTCATTCAAGTGAAAGCCTTCTTCGCCGTTCTGTATTCATTCTTTGTGCGATAACCTGGGAATATATCTCAGCCAAGATTAAGTTTATTGGGAAATTCGCCCTCATCGAAAAGACTCACATTATTTCACTATCTTAATATACTTATGAATCTGCTTTCAATACAATCTTATTCTCTTACAGTACTAGTCAACTGCTATCAGCCGAAACGCGTTTTCACACCAAAACTTATCATTTATATTTATGAATTTCTTAATAATTAATAATAAAATCTAAGTATTTTTTTATTTATATAAATTGATTTACTTTTATTAAAAATTTAATAAAAAATATATTGATTTTTTTTAAATATTTTATTGATCGAATTATAGAGAGTTAAAGTTATATTGTTTTGAAAATAATGAGATTTACTAGTAAAATAAGCGAAAATCAAATAACTTTTTGATATTTTAATTCAATCATATAAATTTTGATAATATAAATTTCTGAGCATTTTAAAATAGTAAAAATATCAAATTTTATTATAAAAACTGTTAGAAAAGATGCTTATATCGTATATCACGCTATGCTGTATTGGGATTAGCCTGCATGTGACTCTATAAGTCCATACATATATATTGTATCTTTATATAGAATTTAATAATATCAAGGCTTTTTTATTAATTCCTATATGATCTTTTAATAGGTTATGAGCTTGGATTCGTGTAGTATTAGGATTAGTCTTCTAGAGTTATTTGATTAATGTTATAACAGATAATAATATGAAGGACTATCATAAAAGGATTCAATTCTATCTTAGAATCTAAAACTAAAGAAGGAAGAAAAGAATAAGAAAAGAACTGTAAGGGCTCCGGACTATATATACCAATAAATCACGTGCTAGACTAAGATCCTAGAAGCTAAGTGATTGAGAAAGGAATTTGAAAGGGATTGAATTGTCACATTACCCCCCCATCTGAAAAAAGCTCGCCTTCGAGTGCTTATCCATTTCCTTATTTCTAATAATATCATCATACTCATCATCACTATTTTTGTAGTATTTCAGCCATTAAGATAATACCTTAAACAAGCCGGGAAGGTTTTGATTGGCCAGGTAATACTTTTTGAGTTTGTAAAGAGAGTATTTGAAATTATCAACAGCGTACCAAGTAAGGTCAATATCGTAATTACACTATTATACTCAATAGTAAATATTATTACAAGTGCTCTTCAAAGCTATAATTTGTTCGATTTCCCATTCTTCTTCACCAGTAATATTGATTGAAGGGTCAGGATCATTCACTTAACCAGGAAGAGAATCATTTGCAGCTTTTCATAACTTTTCAGCTAAGAATATATTAAAAATTTTCATTATATCTAATAGTATTAGCTTAAAGGAATGCTTTATCTTCTTGACAATAAGGAACTTACCGTTTATTGGAAAATCTAGCTTTTTTGAAAGACGCTTGGTTTGGTAATATTGTATATCAAGCCACACAAAATCGTTTATTTTGAAATCGACAGGTTGTTAATGCATGTTAATCTTAAGCTGGGCTCTTTCTTGAGTATCTATAAGATGTTTTATAACAAGTTTCCATACGTCGTGGTATTATTAAGCTATAATACAGGCTTCGTCTATATTAAGCTTGTTCTTGGTTTCGGTATTATAAAACTTCCAATCCCAAGAGGTTTATAGGGAATAGCCGTATACGACTTTAAATGGAGAAATATCATTAAGAGAATTGTAAGGTAAGATGAGCTATGTGTAATTTATTATTAATAAGAGCTCTAACCAATTATCTTGATAATAGAAAACAAAGAATTAGAATCTCTTTTGAAGATACTGATTATAGATCTCAGTTTGTCTATTAGTTTGAAAATGATCCGTAATTGAATAACTAGTATTAATTGTCACGGATCGCACCCAATCGCAGCTGCGATCGCTTACGTGCACGCTTGCGCATGTGCATGATTACGTGTACATAGCTAGTATATAGGAATGCTTTACAAGCACTTTGCTCCCGATTCTGTAATTGTAGATTCTAAGGATAAATTGTATCCTGCTTTTGTAGTTCTTTTAAGGCAAAGTGTTATATTATTTATAACTCATTATACGATTATATAGCTATCTAATAGTTGATTAAATAATATCTTATAATTATAATACCTTCTTGGATATATCGAGGATGTTTGATATTATTTATAGGAAGAGGGCTGATTCCGAGTAAATCTATTTGATAAAAGACAACAAACCCTCAATATATAGAGTTATAAATATTATTATCATATTCAATCTATTTACTTTAAAAAGACTCTATTGCTTTCCCCCTTTTGCTGGCTGAGCATCTCCAACTGATAATAGTTAATCTTAACAAAACAATAATTATAATCCTTATAGTTTTAATATAAATATTAATAAATATAAAAAGAGTAAACAGTCTGAAAACGACTTCTCGATTGAGGTATTAACTCTTAAGAGTAGTATGTTGATATATACTTTTTCGTTACAGGAAGAACAAGTACTGACCTTTAAAAACTTTGAGAACTTATAAAACAAAATTATAAGATTTAAAAACGAATTGCTACAGTATAATCTTAATATCACTTATTTATCTTAACCTCCAAGATATTAATAACAATATTATACAGATTCCCTTGCGAATCGCGGAGTCCGGATTCCTGATATTCTAATCGATTCTATTGAAAGGGTATTTCTTATTATTAGGAAAAGGAAGAATAAGAAAAATCTCTGTTTGCAAAGTTAATCTTTATAACAATCCCTTTTGAATACTAATAGCAGATTCCTTTCAAATCCAATTGCTTTGTTGAGTGACTTACAAATTCATTGAATACTTTATTCTCGTTTATTTATTATTGTAGTAGAGTATTCGTATATTCTGAAGCCTATTAATCTTTCATTCAAATTCAAAGATGATATGGAGCCGAAAGCAAGCCTCTGGTAGCTATTGATTATCGAGCGATTCGAATTTTACGAAAATTTGTTTATCTCAGAAGTGTAATGGTGATTTTATATAATAAATCAGATAGAAGGAGAGGTACAAGAATATATGTTCTCGCTGTATATTTAAGTACTCCATTTGATAGGATAGCAATTGATTGATCAGCTTGTAGTTATTTACAAGAACCCGGTTGAAGCCAATTATGTACAAACTGAGTATGAATACTGGGTTATGCCTAATAACATTCAATGAGGAAACTTCTTAGTATGATATTATAGGTTTAGATTATTAGCTATATAGACGGAAATCACCGATCCAACAATTCTTTTCTGCGATTTGGAAAGAAAAATATCCGATTTTCTTCAATAAGCTATTAGCCTCCATATCAATGAATACTATACTATCGAGAATCTGGCTATCAAGCTTATTAAGATCGATAAACTCAAAGTTATGCTTTGAAAATGTAATTGTTACAAAACAATTAAAGAGATACCTTTTAGAAAGTTATCTAGTAATATTGATTTGTTGATTATCTTTAAAAACACTTTCCGCTCATTGAGTAATTCGAATTTATCTATTCAATTTCATACCCAATATCCTTCTTATATTTCTATTAACTATACAGGAATCTTTAAGCTAAATAATACTTTATTTTCAGGAAACAATTTCAATTGTAATATTACTACCCCTGTATTGGGAATGAATTGTAGTTTTATGTTACATATAAATAATGTAAACGCTATGACCGAGATTCAAGAGATTGGAGAAGACGAAGAGTTTTACGATGTAGAAGAGAATGCCGAGGAGGATATAAACCAAGAAGTGTAAGCGGAAACTGTCGAGTTCGCTTGTATTGCTAAAGACCAACGTTTAAATCAACACGCTTAGATAGAAGTTCTCTCCTAAGCGCGATTCGGGATATAAGATTCCTCGATTTGATAAAACTAATAAGAAATAATTCCATAAACCTACTATGCATACTTTCGAAAAACGGATATTCATACAATACTCAATCTCTTATAGATTCCGAAGTGAATAGCTTTGCTTTTATCGACAAAACACTCTTTTTATTATTATTTTCTATATTCAAATTCCACTTCATACTATTCGAATTACTGATTGAAGTCAAAAGCTATAATAGTATACAAAGTGAAGCTATTATTTATTTCATATTTTTTAATTTCATAATTGATGCTCAACAATAGTTTTATTTGTTATTTCTTATTACCGATTTGAGTTTATATAATGTAATTTTAGATTGCAAATGGTTAGCAGAGATTTGAGTTAAAATCGATTATTTTAATCGACATCTCGAATAGTCTTTTGAATATCCTCTTATTATTTCCTTATCAAAAAATATACTTTTAATCAAAAACAGTCTTCAATAACCCAAAATCAATTACTTGAAATAAAAAGATGCTGATAATCGAAATATCCGATTGGAAAAGATATATTATCGACTTGACAATAGATAATCAACTATAATACTGATTATACCTGAAATACTTATTACTCTTTCCTAAGAGATTAATATAATAATCTCAAATATAATTGAAGCTCAAATTCCAATCAATCTGAAAAAAAAACCTATTTTTAATCAAATCTCTATTCAATCTATTTACAAATCCCTTCCACTTCGTATCTCCAATATATTCAATATCTATATACTCAAGCCAATTCAATTTCAATTTATCTATAAGAAAAGCAAGAATTATAAAATCTTTATAATTATATATATAGAGATTGATGATATCATTTCGATTTACAAATCTAGTTAAGATAATAATCATTAAATCTCAACCACAATTACTATCTTAAATAATTCTAAATTAAAAACTATTGCTATTTTCAATTATATTATTGTAGATATTGAGATGAAGCCTTCGATCCCCAAAGTTTATCAGCAATATTATCAAGCATT